GTCATACGACACATTCCTAATAGACTACCCGCATGACATAAAACCGAAACAAGATAACGGATTCCTTGTGTCTGTCTTATTATTAAACTTTAAGAATTCTTTTGATAAAATTCCACGCAAAAGGCTTCTCGTGAAATTAAATTTCTCCGAAATCAATGATCCACCATATTCATGGTTTGTTGTATTATTAACAGAACGCGAATAAATGGTAAAGTACAACGATCTTCTCTCATCACCGGAACCAATAACTAGTGAAGTTATCCAGGGAAGTGCATTAGGTCCACCCTTGTTTCTCATGTATATGTAATATCATTAAATTAGGGAGATTTCACTTATACACTGATGACCTCAAAATAGTACACAGCTCTAAGCCTGAAGCTCTGAGTGAAAGTGTATCGCAAATTTGAAGTGACCTCAACAACCTGACTATCTGGAGCTAAAGATGGCAATTACCCTTACCACAACAAGTGCAAGATCATGCATTTTTGGAAAACATCCCTATGAACTACAATTCTACCTTAATAAAAGCAGTGTTCAAACACTCAAATCAGTACACAATCTAGATGTTATTTACATAGGAAGCCAAAAATTTAAAGAACATGCCTAAATTATAATTTCTAAATCTAGATGGCTAATCGGTTTCATAATAAAAGAAATTCTTCAAAACAGAAACTAAGCGCACTGTTACAAAATATGTATACGACCCTCCCTTGAATATTGCTCTTTTATCTTTTCGAACATGAATACAACAGACAAGATAAGAGTAGATGTCAAAAGACACTTCACACGCCAAAGGTGAGAATGTGGCTACACTCTTGGATATACTGACAGATGTAAGCACCTCTCTTTAAAACAGTTATGGCACTATAGGTTAAGTAACAACTTAATATTTCCCTACAAAGCAATATATGAGCTCACTTCTAGCGTCCTGCCCAACCATAATCCATGGCACAGTCTACAGACTCTGAAACAAAGCGTATATTCTACTAACTGTGGAATACCATAAAACAATGCGTTGTAAGTATTTAACAGTTTATTGCGAGACAGGCTGTCAATACCTATCCGTAACTGTGACACTAGCACTGAGTTCAAAAGACTAAAAACTCTGTTTCTAGACTCTAAAGAGCTTCATCAACTATTCCCCGATCTCACAATCAACGATGAGACACTTTATTCTGGACCACCTAATTCCAAACTGATCATGCATATAACGGGCTCCTATTGTTATTAATATATGTGCAACCAAATCATAATGGTTTCCATTCTCCCATTATTCATTCATTATTCGTCATGCCTTTATGCTCCTACCATCCACATGAAATTCCTAATCCCTCTTATATTTAAAGTTACATTGCTTTTCGTATGAAGTGCCATGTCTCTGTTTACTTTTTCAAGTGGACAGATAACTCATTAACTCTATGGATGGTGGCCAGCTGTGGCTTGTCATATTGGCTCTTGATATCTCAAATTATTCAAACTCGTGATGTACCATCGAGAACACGAATGGAACACGTGACTTAGTCCAGCGCCATTATTAACACCTCAGGTATTTCAGGAGGACATAAGGTCGCGCCTTCTAAAGCATTCATCACTGGCCATCACTCGCACGTCACAGTGCAACCTCCATAAAGCGCTCCAACTCTTATGTTGACATCCCCAGTTTTACTAACATTATTTTCATTCATATGTGAGACGCATTATCCCCCTGAATCTATGAACAATGTCCTTTATAACACATCGACCCTACAGATTAACTTATAACAGTAGGACCTGCATCGTCTATAACAATTTGATTTTTCCTGTAAACTGGCGTTTCTCATGTACGTTGTTGTTACTTGAAAAAGAATATATACAACCAATATCATTCCTTTGGACGGGCTGTCAACAGATTTGGGTTCAGAACCCGTTGGCAACCCTCGTGCTTTTGATAGAAGAAACCAGACAAGTAGCGAATAGGTCTTTATTTAATAATAATAATAATAATAATAATAATTTATTCTCAAATAACAGTTTGTTACATGAGGCATGGCAGTTTACAGGCACCATCAAACTGTTACAAATGATACAATATCTACTGCAGTAAATTACTTAGCTGGGTTGATTATTTATGAGATATGAATGTAGATGGTTTTAATCAGTATCACAGTTGGCGCGCTTCATGAAAGTTGCGTTGCGAATGCGCAACTGAAGGTCAATGATAGGTCCACTGAAGGTGGGAGCTTCTAAAAGTCGCAACCTTATATCCCTTTGAAAAATCGAAGGCTTTGAGGATGGTGCAGGATAAAATCTTTCGTTCCATATCACAAGTGGGCTGAAAGAGGGAGCAAGTAAAAGAAAACACGAGGGACAGAGTAGCCAATATTCATGAAGGAATGTTTAAGGTATGATTACTCAGTCTTATTTTCTTTTATTAAGGTATTTGTTAAGAAAGAGCATTTAATAGGTTAAAGAAAATAAGTGTTATGATTGTGTGAAACAGTTTATTCGTGTGTCGTTACTACTGATAAATCAAGGACAACATTTTGTGTGAGATAATCTCAATCCATGCATGGAACATTTTGTGGTTGATTGGGATGCCACAATTCAATGGTATTGATGCAATTTTCTTGTTCCGAACACCTCTCTGACTCATGTCCGTGACTCTGAATTGGTTTTTCTTACTGCCGAAAAATCCTATTGCAAGCAAGCCTGGACAATTAAGCTATAAAAGTTATAATAAAAACAAGTTATAATAATTTTGACGAAAAACGTCAGTTGATGTTAGAACACTGTTTTTCCTTACTATATATCAAGAATACCCATCCTCAACTTCCACACTGTGCTTCCACCACCAATTGCTCGTCGCAACGCAATCCTCACGAAGCGCGCCAACTCTCATATTGGACATCAGAGTCATAAAAAGATTGATGTTGTGATGTATGAAAATTTATACTCTGCTTAGATTATTCATGTGCGCTATGACATATCTACATAATTGAGTAACCTAACAAAATAAAGCCTGTAGCATTTGTAGCAGATCAATCTCGCCTGTAAGCTGACATATCTCATGTAACATATTGTGATCTACGAAAATATTACTATATAAACCAACCTAAACAGTCGTTCCATATTCCGAACTGCTTTAGTTTGTGACCTACATAATTGACCTCGATCAAGCAATTGACAGGTGACACAAGGCTACTCATTGAATATCTTGGTTTTAATGCTTCACTTTGACATGTGTTTGAAAGGATGTTCATAGAAGACTGGCAAAAACTCCGCCATCAGTTTTATTAACTTGCGTTCATTAAACTAACAGTGACACTGGATAGGAAACTCAGGCTGTATTCACTTGTGTAGAGCGGAAATATGAGCACACGTACTAATTTTCATTCGAAACAATTACAGGCGCATCTGACTGACAAAATGATTATTGTAATTTTTTAAAATGCAGTGGGGTTGTATGTCTAATTATCCAGCAAATGTGGCACTACTTATCGACTAAAATGCCTTTTCAACGATGGTTACCAACATCACATGAGATGATCATCAAATACAAGTTATTAGGAATGAAAAATATCAACCACTCCTAAACAGGGACCACTCGTGTTAGGAAAACCTAATAATCGCATAGAATCAACATCAATATGAGTGGTTCGAAGAGCAATAAGATAAGACTAATCAAGGACCATGGAGTTATTCTTAGCTAAATGTCTGCAGTTAGTTGCACAGCTCAATGGTTGTGAACGTCAAAAAATTTCACACTCGAATAACATGATATCGTCTAGGTTCCAGTCCGTTAGGCTTACTATATGCCCGTATAAACTGGTTGTATAAGTTAATGTCGTCTTGTTTATAAGCTTACATCGATGACATTCTACGTGTTCAAGGTAAATCATACGTGGCTGGTATGAAATACATTTACTAACAAGGAATGGACAACGACCTTTGGGAGCTCGTTCATCTGCCTCCCGTTTGATCGTATAGTTATCGTCTTAGTCTGCATTGTTGAACAATGGGATAAAATAAGTCAAATACGGTAAAAAAATCTTCGAAGCGTATATTTCAAGCCGTCGTTAATCCATACAGATAATCAGGGAAAGTGAGAGGAGAAACAGACAGAAGGAGCCAAGTATGCCAATTCCATTTGATGAGGCTTTACTCAATATTTACAGACAGACAATATAAGTTGCAGACGTGTGACGAATAGAATAAGCAATACACATATAGGCGGTCGAACAAGAGTAGTTTGGGTTAGTACGAGGATAATTAATGGGGCCAAAATATAAGTCAGGTGAAAGAATGAGCTAGTCTTTCCGAAAATTGGAATAACCTATGTGAGTCTTACATTGTACAAGACACTACAGACCGACATTTCTACGTATCAAGTTTTTCATGCGTATTAAATTTGTGGAACATTGCATGCCCCATAAAGTTAATGAACTTACGAAGTATCTTTCCTAGTGCAGTTATCTGAAACGTGATTGAAGTTTTCATCTTTCCCACTCTATCTGACCTGACTGCCTTCGAATGAAAATAAGTTGTGACCTACATTATTCTTATAAACGTTAGACACGAAACTATCTGTTCACCATTCTATTCCTATTCTCCATGCGGTCGCATAAGCAGTCGACTGCTTATGAAAACCTCTGTTAAAGCGTACCTTGATGTTACCTTACTCTTCATGCAGAAACTATCATTTTATCCGAACGAAACCATGGCTTACTGCTGATTTCAATACTTGGCATTATCAATTCTAACTTGTCAAGAACAACTTTATGAACAATATAAACAAACATCATGCTGTCCACGGAATTCACCAACATATGTTTTAACTGATTATTACATTGGACATGCTAGACAGAATAAAATAATTCTGTCAGAGTTTGACGGACATATCACAAATTGAAATAAGGCAAATGCCTAATTTATTGAACATCATTGTTTGTTTGAATTGTTCATTTTGGGAGAGTTTAACAGTTATATTACTTAACGCGTTAACTATGTTTCGAAGTCGCAAAATGACTTTAGGAATAGCTCTAACCATAGTGTTTTTACTGAATTTATGTCAAACAAAACATGTTTGCAAAGTCCCTAGAGCTTCACCAGTAGTAAGGATTTACTTTTAAACTTTAAAAACAAGATTCATGCTACGTCATATGATTCCCTATCAAAACGGAGCACAGTCAACACTCAGTTGAAATTTTCCATCGTATATACATCGGGATTTCAGAATAATACTCTGTTTGAACAGATAAAGGTTGGTTGACCCTATGCGTTTCCATTGTCTTTGTTATAACTATTACAGTCTAATTCATCTAATTTGTCTCTCTATATGTGTTAAACAGATTTGTTTAGAACTTTTAACAATATCCATCAATAATTCAGTTTTGTCACAAACACCGAGAATTCAAACAATGGCTGTTTCTCTAAATGCATCGTGATTGTTCGCTAATTTAATGAAACAGTTGTTCTACTATTCTGAGTTGTTTTGCAGTTCTGTGTTAGTAATATGTTGACACTACTCGACAAATGGTTTTTAGGACGTGTTTGAGTCGATTTGTTTTCTAAAAACATAATTAGTGCTTTGTTCCTTTTTTGATAGGTTCCAAAAAACATTTATGTAACTCGATGTTTGTATGCTGATTAATTTGTATGCAACTCCACATATGGCTTCTATTTTATTTTATGCAATGTATATTGTTATGCTTTATTCTTGGAGGAAATTCAACCAAATTATATACTGATGAATATTACTGCTCCATATATTATCGAAATGCTAATGATGTGATCACAACATTAAATATTTTTTCGTTATTATACATTATCCTGCCGTTTGTCTAACCATTCATAAATATCAGTAGTGTAGTGGAGATATCAAACGAAAGGATGTTTTTCACTTTCATGATTTTAAACAAAATTAGCGCATATTACGTGACTAATTCTATTAATATAAGCATATCATGAATAGCAAATATTATGAGATGGATTGACTTTGTTTCGTATCGTGTGTTCATCCCTTCAAAAAAATCCAGTTTACTGCAAGGCGTACTTTAGAAACATGTTCTGTCTACCTTTGAAGACAGAAGTCTACTGGGACATTTTTCTGCGATTAGATAAAACCCTTGAACTGTAAATATTATCTTATCCTATGTTCAACTGAACATAAATAGTTCTTGTTTCTTGTTATCTTAAGGTCTATGAAACACCGTATCTTGTGTCTTGCACTAACACACAAATTTTGTTTTGAGAATTCGAGCAGCAAGACCAAGCCAGCTCATCGAGATGGCTTTTGTTATGATATATGGTGAAATTTATTTAAAATGCTTCAAATACAGCAACGTTTGTTCAGTCCCATCTGACGTCTGGTATTTTGTAGCTCGACTATTAACACCTAGACAAATGTTGATGCTGGTGGATTGATAATGGCTACATCTGCTTACAGACTGTGCCTCCCATTAAGTTGGGACTGCAATTGTTTTGTGCATTAGTTCTTCTTGCTTTTTCTTCGGAACATTGATCTAATTGGAATGATTAGATATAATGCTAATAGTGGCTTAAACGAGGTCCTAGTCAAAACAAACTCAAAATCAATTGACATTGCTGAAATTTTGTTTAATTTGCTGTCATCTATTGTATTAAAAACGTCAGAGCTAGTCTCTAATCTGTTTATGAATAGCTTTTTTCTCAAAGACATAATTAATTAAGTCTATAGTCAATCAATTCTTGTTTAAGTGGGTTTTAATGAAGTACAAAACACAATTTTAGGAAAAAATTAAACCTAGCTATAAACATACACAAGCTATTTCAACCGATATGGTGTTATATAGCGGCTGATTTAAAACCTCTCTAATGTTCTTCACAATGCCATGTGTTTGTTCTACTTGTCTAAAACGAAGCACGAAAACTATTTCATATAACTTTGTCTACTTAATTCATGCAAATTTGTCTACTAACCATATGAAATTGGTAGTGAAGTCATATGGGAGTGACGGTCATTTAATAATAATTATATTAACTTTTAACCTCATGTTTACTAAAAACTTGATGAATATTTAGTACCAATAAAGTCGCTATATTATTTTGCTATTTCCATAACTGAATGATTTGAGTTGATGTGTTTCAGTTAAGCTGCCGCAAAGTTTGGCAACTTCAACCAATGTTTCTGTGAATATCTGATTAATTTCATCTGGACTTGAGGTTAGCGGTGTAATATAAGTTTGAAAGTAATTCGAGATTTTCAGCAAAAAAGTGACTGTAGCTGATACTTGGTTGAACATTTTAGTTGAGTTGAACAAAACGTCCAGATATATTTGCATAGTTAGCAGCTTTTAACTAACTGATGATATCGTAATTGTGATGACTTGACAAAGTACTGATGCCGCTTTCTGTTATGCTTGTGGACGCAACTGTTTATTTGCCATCGTGTTGATGGGCGCAAGGAAAAAAGGTATGAATTCATACAGAGTTTATTATGCAGCAACCACTAATCCTCGAATGGTCTAAACAACTTCAGTTATTGAGTGCATGTATTCAATTTTCAGTGTCAATATGTTAGCCAACTGGGTCAGAAGAATTCTTAAAACTACGAGAATTTGTTCAGTTTTCATTGAAGGTATTCGAACAAGTGTGATGATTATGCCTACTTCCCTGTTTATTCCAGTAAGACTGCTTCAGTCAATGCGTCTATTCACTAAAATTAATCTTCAAATTTTGTGCAAAACGTGAATGGTTAAATTAACAGTTATCGATGATGTTTTCATGTCATAAGGTCTCAGGAAGTAACTTGTAGTTAAGTAACGGTTTTCCGCTAAGAGTTTTTGACGTTTATTATCGCTGTTTTTCGAAAACAGAAATTCAATTTTAACAGTTGTGGCTTTTATAGATATTTTTGAAGTCATTTTAACAACCTGTGATAATGAGGAGTATTTGAATTAAAGTATGAACTAAGAATCTCAGAAATAACGTAATTGGATCAAGCAGTATTAGATAACCACAAACGAATGTACTGTATTTAGAGTTCGAAATCAAGCATTCAACAAGTACAAAGGTATCATTAGTTCATTCACACACCACACAGACAAACACTTCTTGGTTTCCGATTATTTGATTTATTTTTCGTCAACTTGATCAGACACATTACTAAGTTTTAAGTTTACATCTCTATGCCCATCGTGCCTACTAAAATTATAAAACTTTCAGCTCTATCACTATCATTATTCACTGACTCGTCCACATACATTTAAATTTAAATCTTATTTTATCAAATTATTGGTTCTGACCTTTTCAGTGTTCTTTCAGATAAGTATACTTGAAGCGCATTTTGTTTGCTTGGCAGTTAAATTGTCATAACTAGTTAATGCTTGACATATTTATGTATGAATTTAGATGTAAATTGTCTTAATGCTGTGAATTTTTGAAACTATAAATACATTTGAAAAGCGAATGATTAATCTCACTTATTTTGAACTGCAATATAGTACTTTTTATAAATATAATAAAACATTATTATTTTGTCATGGACAAATAATAGTAATGTATTTATGATGTTTTAGATGTGAATATTTTCATGATGCACTTGTGAGATCCTTGACCCACAAATACATCTTTACAAACACTTCTGTCATTATGTAGTGCATAGTCTTTTTAAAGTACTTAATATTTAATTTAAAAGGCCGTGATTCAATGAGAAAAAAGTATCAAAAATTCATACGAAATTCGGAATCATAGATACTTATACTTAATTGCGTTCACTAATGAAAGTTCATTTGATTGTTTCATTACTCAATTGAAGTAATTGAACGTCTCGTATTATTGTACATCACTTATGATATCCATGAATTAGAAACAGGTTTGTTAATGAGATAAATAAACGTTTTGTCTGGTTTTTATTTATCATTGATTTTTGATCTTATGAAACACTGTTGTTACATGTTAAAGTCTGCAACAATTGTTTCTGCACTTTTTAAAGACAAAAATTGTTTTGCCTGCGCTTACGTACTGGGAAAAATCATTAGGTGTGAAGAAGATTGCTTCAGACAATATCATACTTGAGAGGTAAGACAGATATTCTTATTTTTGACAGCTTTTCATTCAGATCATCGATGTCACGATAGTCGTAAATTAATTATAACATAAACTCCTCAAATCGTTCAGTAAGCGATAATAAAATTTTGTCTGAAAAGGTTTAGGCTGGAATTTTGTGGCAAACTATATGTTTTGACTGCAGAAAATAAACCTGACTAGCACCTGTAGAAGGTGTAATATACCCACTTACGATTTTTTAAAAGTGTGCAGTGAAATATTTTAATCTCTTTTCGTTGCTTTTACTGTGTTTGTCATGAAAATTCAAGTAATAATAAGCTTAAGACATAAATTAAACAATGCTTCTGATCTTTCTTAATCTATCTTTAGAATTACAATTTTTATTGAATTAATTAATATTCTATAAATCTGAGTGCATCGTCTAAATGTTATGACCAAGGAGGGAGCTAGTGACAGTCAAACAACAATATGGTATCTGTCTATGAACTTGCTGACAGATGGAATGAACCGTGTAGGTAGGTAGAGACTATCTATTTAGGGTTGGTGTGATTTTCGTAAAAAATAGTTACAGACTGTGAGACATGTTCGTATGAACTTTCGTCTAAATTCGAGCGGATAGTTTTACGGTAATTGAGGGCGTACAGTATCCAGGTAACGGCTGAACAAGGTATTTATATTCGATATTTTTGATATTTGATTATATTTCCTTGCAAAAGCTTGAACCAGTATAATGAGTGGAACGCTGAATTTTTAAAGTTTATTTGTTGAACTTTCTTACTCAGAATCGTTTGAATTAGCGCAGATGGATTCATTTTTTATCTTTCCTTGGATTCTAAGCTTCAAAATTATCTCAAAGTTGTTTTCCTCCATAGACCTCTACATTCCCACTTGTTTCATATTTTTTTATGCCTAATCTTTTTCACTACCACTAATACTGTTACTTATTAGATTACTGCAGCATCTCACTGTGCTAATGTAGTGTAACAACTGAACGTAACACAAAAATTTACCAAGTTTTACACTTCCCTGATCGACTGACTTGTTAACCCTATGAGGCAAATAAGTTAACCCTAAGAATTCAACTGAATACTGTTCATCACTAATGAAAAGCGAAATTGGCAAATTTAATTGAAGTACTGGACTAGTCGTAAATTTTTTAATCAGATTTGTGTTTTTATAGGAATGCTAACGTTTACTTTGTTTTGCAAGACAATGTTTGGATGGGCAAACGTCATATGTAAAATGGCCAAATGGTACAATTGGTATATATTGCAATAAAGGTTGTGAAAATATCACTAGATGTTTCACAGAACCCATACCTGATAACTATCTTAATGTGAGTTACATGTGAATTGATCTAAATTTATATCTATTCAATGTTTGGTCGTCTAGTCATTAAAAACCGTGAACTTTATGTTTACAAATTGTGTTAGGATCTATCCCAAAGTCGGTTTTGTCCCTTTCTTATGAGGTAGATTTAATGTAACTTTGTCTCAATGATATGAGCTGTGAATAAAACGGAAGTGAATGATAGATTGACTAGATAAGAATATTGATTATCCATCCAATGGGAACACAATTTTACTTTTGTTTATCAGAAAATCTTCTATCTTGGCAACTTCATGGTGAATTATAAAGCGTCTATTCAAACCAAGTGCTTAAGAATTCGCAACCTGATGGTTGGATTAGCACCGTCTAAGATAAAGTGTAGGATTTTTCAGTATATTCTTCCAGTCATTGCAATAAGCCTGGCGACTGAAAAGCTCCCTGAGATTTCAGGATATATTCACTTTCCTTGCCTATTTATGAAGTCTTTTATGCCAAGTAAAACACAGTATTATCAAATAGAATGTGATATATTTTCCATTTGGAAGTTTAATTCTTATTTATTTAGTTATAGCTGAAGTAAGTAGGCAGCGTTATACACTAACAAAATGAAACCATAACCCAAAAACTCTGTTGTCGAATAAACTTCAGAAGCTCGTTAAACGTAGTTTAATAGGTTTTTGGCATAAAAAATAGTGTACAACATGGCATAGTTTCTTATATATGCTCCGTTTGCAATTAGAAGGAATAATAATAAAGCCAGATTATTAAAACAGTTTAGGCGTATAAGAATATAATTATTAACTGGCTTAACTTGATTGCTGATGCAGATGCAGAGCCATATTTGAGGTTGTTTTAAGAAGTTACTCTGGTTTAACTCGCAGTAATAAGCAAAAATTGATCATTTTTTCAGTTTAGGATCCAAGTGATTTTGTAGCCATTAGAAAAGCGTTATGCTACAAAATTCACATGGATAATGATAAGTAAGAGATAATTATTCCTGTAATTATTTGTTTTTCTCATGTGATTGTTATTTAGTTAATTGCTTAATGAAGTTCATTTTTATTTCTAAAGGGATGTAAAACGTTTGTTGCGAATAAGCCTAGTATACAAGGTTCAAGAGGATCAGGAATACCACCAAACGGTTATTTGGTTTTTGTGGATGCTTCAGCAACTGAACCATGTCAAAGTGAAGATTTGTTGGCTTATGCACTGGCGTGTCAACTTGAGTTTGGTACTGACAGGTAGAACGCTTAGTTTTTAATGTTATCTAGTTTTCCATTAACTGTTTTTAAATCAATAATGTCATAAAAACGATTATGTAAAAGACAAGTTAACTAACCTAATTGATAAAACAAGGTTGTTAAGCTGAGTACATAATTCATTCCCTAAACGATTGTTGACGACATTTAACTTTAGTGTAACTTAGATTGATTTTTTAATCCCTAAGTACCAGTATTTTTATATTACATTGGATGATAGTTTGGTTCTAAGAATATTTCCCTTCAGTCATCATTTTAGTCTTATTAGAGAAAAGATTACTAGCCCATTTATAGGAAGTAACGTTCTATAATTTGTATGAACCTAACCAACTGTATTTTGATATTCTGATTTACATTACATGTAAATCAATCAAAATGCAATTGATTTACGTTACTAATTTAACGGATGGTTTAAAATATTCTCCTCTCTCTCAACTATACTACATTATTACGTTAATATGATAAAAGGACTAGTCACGCTGTATCAGATACAGGATTCACGATCAAGAATAGGGAACTATATTAACACTAGATAATACTTAACCCAATACAATTACAAGCAGTCACACTCATTTAGTCTGAGGTAGTAATCAGTGAGAGGAAAGGAAATCATCGAGGGGATTTTAAGAGAATGTAGCATTTTCATAGCTGCAATCACAAATTCATCTAAGCTAGACCACTAATGAAAACCTATGAGCACTGGATTGATTGAGGTTAAACATTAACACCGTTGGATGCCAGCTCGCGTTCGCGTGCGAGACCGTAGGTTCAAGATTCAAAACCCTTATGAAGGATTGTTGTATGCGTGATGCTTAGGATTTCTATAATGGGACGAAACGGCCGTTCAATGTTTCCAGGTTCTCAGTGGATGTAAAGGAGATCATATAATCGATAGTTTGTGGGTTTGTCGATGCTCAGTGACCAATATTATTTCCTTTTAACTTCTACACATCAATTACATCTAAATCGATTATATTTTTGATCGTCAAAGAAAAAGCCTATTAACTCAAAAGAAATGGTGGTTATTTTGAAACCTGCATAGTAAATTCCGTTTATAAGTAATTTTCTATGTCAGTAAAATATTCATTTCCCACTAAGTATATTTTCTAGTATGTTTTAAGAAGATTTCTGCTGTTTAATTTATTGTGTCCGAGTCAGTAAACAGTTGCATTGTTAACAATGCTTTACTTTTTTGATTCAGGCCAGTGGCAGGTTACGTTAATATGTGTCCAACTCAACTGTCAATAAAGCCAGAAGACGTTCGTTCAAGTATTTCTACTTTCATTCATGAAATGGCACACGCTTTGGTTAGTTATTTATTCATTGACAGCAGTTTTATAAGTTACTTAGAATGTAAAGATTGATGTACAGATGCATTTGTTGTAATAAGTACGTGTATCAGAGTCATGGTTTATGTTGTACTAGCGGACTAGAAAAAAGTGGAAGACTTCGAGGAAAGGTTTATCTGGTCTCCGAATACTCTCCAGTTGTCTATCATTGACAAGTCCTTCGGATTAGAAAACAAACTTGAGCTGCAGCTCTTAGAAAAGGTAATAATTAAATTATGGTCGTTCATCACGAGTGACTTCCATATGTCAAAAAACACTAAGACTGATAAGCAACAGCCTAAATAAATAGAGCTAATTCACAAATCTTAGTTGTATTTACTGGGTATATTTCACACTTTGGACAATATTTTCATGTTTTTTCTAAAATTATTAGTTTTTATTTATTTCTTCTGCTTCCTAAACATTCTCAGGAAGAAAAGGAAACAAAGTTTGAAGTTAATATATTGCTGATGTTCCTCTGGACAAATATGCGTTATAAGTTTTGTTTACAACTATATGGCAGGATCTTTCGATTGTCAATGAACATATTTTTTCATCATAAATGTTTTTTATATATCTATTTGTGGATCATTTATTAATAATGTAAACACGTTAAATTAGTCAAATTATCTATTTCTAAAAGTGCAATAATTTACCTTGATTTTTAAGTTGACATAATACCACATGTCATTTTGCTAAACATTATTCATGCTTAAAACATTTTTGCAGGGATTTTCAAGTACATCATATGCATTTCTACGTGAAGAAGATGGTACACCACGTACACCTAGAGACCCTCAAACTAACTTACCTGCGCTTGGTCAAGATTCGGACTATATTTATCTAGCCAGGTAACTGAGAAACGTATTTTGTTGTTAGAAATTTATCTGAAAATATCATACAGATACTAAGCTTCTGCGTTATAAAAGAAGACTTACATTCGCTGAAGCTATCAGACGTCTTACCACTCAGTGAAGATGACTTCTTACATTTAAATCCTAGATGCATTTTCTTACTACCATTAAATTAAAGTTTTTGGTCATGTCTAACATGACGAACAATTCAGCCTCTTATATTCAATATTTAGCTTATCATATATAAATTGTCTCTTGTTCATTAAGTGTTATTCAAACTCTGTGGGCATGAAGGGCAAACATTTTGTCTCTGAAAATTTTAAAACCAGATCACAGATGTCAATGACTGAAAATTTAACCAATCTTAGATATGTCGGTGCACTGTTTATGTGGCGTCATCACCTTTGGTTTTGAACTTCAAACAGACGCTATTGCTTACTGCTGAATAAAAACAAGCTGATTTAATAAATATACACACTAATTTGAGAATCAGATATTTTAAGTAACAGTTTATCCCAAGCTTCGTGAGATGAGCTGGGTTTATATCTTGAACATGACCTCAAAGAGTAAAGTGAATAAGCTGTAGAGTCAAAGCCCTGTTTTCAAATAAACCTTCAGATTTTATACATATGGCATGGTTTTATTCAATTAACTGACTTCAAAATGTTTACCTTGAAAAAATTAACTATTTTGAGCTGTTATAGTAATACTAAACACCCGAAATTACTACTCACTGTCTATTTCTTTCTTTTTAGTAAATCGACTGTTACAAAGGTTCAGCGAATCTGGGTTTCTGCAGTCTCCACAACTATACGAACTATAGATGTCTTTGTGCTTCCAAGTGTATTGGTAAGTTAATTTTACATTATAGGTAACTGAACTCAAGAGCTTCTATACGTTATCGTTTACTGAATGAAACAATGAAACTTCCGTGTGCTCTGCTAATAATTTACTACTCCGGCTTCAATAGTGCAAATGAAACTACCACAATTCTCTTTCTTTTTTTGTTTATCTAGTTGAAAATTCTTTTCATAAGTTATATCATTATTAGAAATATGTTATTGCTCTAAGATGATTTTGCATCTATGATTCCGAAGAAAACGCCTGAGTAAGCATTTCTGTACAAAATAATGTGAAATATTTTTTCAGTTGAGACTCAAGAGATGGTGCAATTCAGTGATTTAAGATACAATCAGCTGTGACTCAGAATAGAAGACAATGAAGATTCTACTGTAGTTTCCTTTATCGTTCTTCACCAAAGCAAGGGTAACTCGCCTGACTGCAAGAAAGTTTTCACTATTGCATTTTTCATCTGTCATTCCACGTATTATTATTGTTAACCCATCTACTTTATTTCTACTGATTGTAATTTCTCCCCTTCTTTATTTTTGTTACAATCTAGCCTCTTTATTCGTGTTGGATGAACAAAATAAAAAAAGCAGTTTAAAAGTAGTTTCTATTTGCATGATTATCTGATAAACGTTTTCATAAACTGAAATCCTCGAAATGTAGATGCTAAGTGATAATGATGAATAAAAGAGATTAAATTTAAATCAACCATTCTTGGCGACTAATGGTACTTACCTCAATAAATAATATTATATTACTTATTATTCCACTTAATGCTTTATAGATCCTTAACCTGTGAAAAAATGTTTTCCTTTTTATATATCCGTTTGCACTTGACTTTTAGGCAGAGGCTAGAGCTCACTATAACTGTCCTACAATGGATGGAATGGATTTAGAAAATGATGGAGGATCTGGAACAGCTTTTGTTCACTTTGAAAAAAGAATCACTGAAGTAAATTACCCATGATTTTAATAACTGACTCACATGATAGTACAATAAATTGTTTCAAATTTTCTTTACATATGTAACGATTTGAAATATTGACATAGTTCAGACTGTGTCAGATTACCATTTTCGGCTTTCGTTTGTCATTTTCAACAGTGGTCGTAAGATTTTATTAAATAATCACATTATTAAGGATGTTTTTTATGTTTCAGGATGAACTCATGTCAGGAAGTTATTCAAAAGATTCTTACGTGTCTTCTTTAACGTTGGCCTACTTCAAAGATACCGGGTAATAACATATTTATTAAGCATAAATCCTGATGAATTTGGAGAAATAAAGCACGTCATAGTATCAGTTAAAAAGATTTATAGTTCAGACGGAAGATAATACATTTTCCGAACCAGTCAGGTTACTTTTAAACATTTTATCATCATCATTACAAGCTTTGGAACATTTTTCAAAAGGATGTTATCTAGAAAAAGTAAACCTCTAAGTTAAAACAACTCCCTTTAGAGAACACATCAATACTAGTCGAATAAGATACTAATTTTGATTTGCTGGACTTCTGACTTTCCGCATGTTAACATGTATTACTTATAACTCTTGTAACTGCATTTATCCATTCACCATTGTTTAACGTCGGATACTATTTTGCCCTTCAGTACGAATAGGGCTGCAAACAGCTGATAAGAACCCTCAAAGTAAAGTCAGTGTATATTATTTTGCTTTAGTCTATTTTTTTTATCAAAATTCGTAAAGATAACTAATTGAATGAAGTTTAAGACCACATAACTGAGTTATTTCTGAGAAATTTCATTTTCTGTAGGTGGTTTTCAACACGAATCGATCTTAATTCGGATATTACTGAAAATCAAGGAGCACTGGGTAGCTGCCTATTTCTAGAATAAAACTCCTCAGATTTGCGGATCAGCTACCTCACCTGTGATCTGGACGCAGACTTTCAGAATTTGTAGCAGGCGATTAACTACTGAACCCGCTCGAATAGGGTTGAATTTCTTGCAAAACCAAAAATAGTAATTCTAGAAACTTATTATCTCCACTGTTACAACTTAACTATGCCTTTTGAAACTTTACTATTTATTATTCTTGTGTTATTAAATTTCATTGTAAACTGCTGTAGCATTTACTTTAATTAAAATTCAGGTGGTATAATGTAAATATGTCTATGGCCCAAAATTGGAGGTTCGGTAAAAACTGGGGATGTGAATTTGTTCAACTGAGTTGCTACGAATACATGAAAATACAAATGGCAAAGTATGTTAATATAATATTACATTTTTGTTTTTAGTATGAATGTTCATGGTAGCCTTTTTCGTTAATAAAAGTATACTTTTCAACATTTTGATGAGTTAGTAATCTAAGGATAATAAAATCAGAGTATTTAACTTGGTATTGTTAAACAAAATGGTGAGATGCTGTTCGAAATGATGAACTTAACAGTCAATTATTTTTACGTAAAAACATTCATGGATAGTAAATTGTGCCACACATATTATACATTTATTATTTAATTAATGAAACAGAATAAGTACTTCAATAGTCTTAAGTAATGGAATTTTGTATTATGAATATTAAAGTGCACTCACTTTTTTCTTCAGGCCTAGAAAGAATCAAGTTGTGTAATAATAGTACTATGGTCTCAAAATATCTGCAGAATTTGAAACAAACACGCTTCACTCGATAAGTGAGCACAGAATTATTTTGCTGGTTCTGTGAAATGAAACTAGGTAAACAGTTAGAGTTTTATTAAGTTTTGTTTCAAATTTTATCTAAGCAAGAAATATATTGAATTTTTTCACAGGAATAATCCTATCACCCCTTATTGCAATAAGCTTTCAAGCACTGATGTAAAATGCTTAGTTTACGACGATGCCTTCGGCTCCTGTGACCTTCAGCGCCAAAAAGAGAAAGTACCTGGGGAAAATCAATATTTTACCAGTATAGATGGTGTTTCTGCTTCTGACTTACCATATTATGCAGGTGGACCTTCTTTAAGTGACCGCTGTCCAATACACAGGGTTTGTTGTGTTTTCTTTAATTTTTATTATAAATTTATATGACTGTTATGTTGCTAATAATTTCATAATATGCGACAATTAGTTTCTCTAATAAATTTGGATAATTTAGTGAGGAGACGGAGCTTATGTGTGATCAGATTGTTTCAAATTTATTACGCTAATATGTCACATAGTTCTGAGAATCTTCTTATTACGCTATCCGAATTTCAAAATAATCTATTCAAGAATCAATCTGCTGTTTGAAAACTAGTCTGTGGACGAAACTTTAATACAAACAGATTGTGTTAAACAGTGCTTGTATTATGAACGCTTACGATATCCTAAAACCGTTTGTCCTTTTTCCAATTCCTTGAAGTTTTTCATTCATTGTAGTATTAACTGATTGTATATAGTACTATATCCAAAGTTGAGCAAGTGTTTCCATTAAAGGACTGTATGAAATCATTCATTATGTCGGGTGCATATGAGGTTAGGAAATTCTTCAATAGTGTTATCAATGTGCATCATATATTAAATGCAACTAACATTCATTTACTTAGTCACCAACGTTATTAGTGACATTTTGTTGATGAGCTGAGTGCCACTATGTGGTTTTTTCATTGTGCTCTGATTAAGAACCAGATTGCTTGTCGTAATAAGTAATATTCATGTTAACTTTACATCTTAGTTGACATCCGAATGTCGACTCATAGTAATTCAGTTATAAATGAATGTTGTTTAAAAAAATAATCGATGTAAGTGCAAACATTTACAGATTGTGAAATCTATTTTTTATTTAAACTTTAGTCATTGTTGGATATTGAAGTATTCACTAAGACTGTGGTCAGCTTATAAATCTGCTAGTTCTGACTGAAGACCATAAATCATTACCTAAATTTCAAAAAATAGAGTCAGTTAATCAAACTATGATAGGAAATTCTTTGGACTTCACTCTTAGATTCTGTAGTCTGAGAGGATTCTTGCGAAACTATTTGTCAGTACACTCGTGTGTACTAAATTATAGGCGTTATAATAGTGACGTGACTGATGCCTAACAGTAAAGTTTTTACTCATCCGAAATGATCTACATTAGTTTGTTATTTTAATGAAAAAATATCCAGCTTAAATAAAGTTTCTACATCTACTGCTTCCCTATCATATTAATTATGCTCGTGTTTTCCTAGACCATTTCGATTTATAGATTGTACTGTATAAGTTCGGTGTTATTTATTTCTTGTTAGGTTAATGTGATTTGAATAGCTTGTATTAAATAGCCATATTTTAACCACGATTATTAACGAAAATCATTTAAGTATTTAGAAGATACTCAAAAGAAACTAGTTAGAATTAATCTTGGTAACTTTTATCACTGAAGTAAAATAAATACACTTATTTTGAACAACGATTTTTATATACCTTTCATATCTTTGCTTTGAAAAACCACTTTACTTATATCCTTAAAAGAATACAGTGGTTTGACTATATTATATTTCCAAATTAAAATAGTACTTGTGAATCTGATAGTTGTTTGAAATTATATTTATTTAGCCATTTGAACCAGTAACTGGATATAAATATACATCATATTGTCGTCATATTGAAAATCAAGATAACATTGGTTTGTGATTTCTATATTCACTATATATACAAAATTATTGGTTACCTCAATATACTAAAATAGTTGGCGCATTTTAAATCTGAAATTTTTCTGCACTGACCCATATTTCTAAGATTGTTTTGGTGTTCATTATGGCGAAAATTTAACATGCAAATAAAAAAAACTGTATTTTTATAAATAGTCATTAACATCTGTCACTTTCAAACTACATTGCACAATAACGCTTTATAAACTTTCTTTTAAGTTTTATTCATGGTTGGATGTTGGTGATGTTCATGTACATTTTGACTCATTTATTAACGGATAGTACATTTGGATTTAGTTGTGAAACAAAATTGCCACCATTATTTTGAAACTAACTAACCTAATGGCAACACTATTTTTATCATGCACTTTCAAAGTTATCTATATACAATTTCTGTCAGCAAAACACTCATGCATCTTTTTAAAAAAATATTGCTATTTATTGGATTGGATGGACGATTATAAAGACAAAGGATTTTTATGTTGAACTGTTTTTGATTTTGATTGTTTCATGGACTTGGAGAATCTAAGGGTTTATTATATGTATTGAATCATGTATTACATTCAGTTAAGTATTCGTTTATTGTGGGACTTATTGATGGGCTGTTATGATGGAATTACAAACTTTTATCTGTTAAGGTGGTTTGGTGTGACTTACGTGAGATTTTACCACACTAAGTAATGTTAGATATCACTGCTACCATTTATGTCTTCATTCAGTCGCATCCACGTGTTGTTAAATCACCTACTTGTTAAAACAAATGTAGTAATCAAGGTATCTTTTATGCTCTGCGCGATTTGTTTCTGTTTATTTTTCAGTAGATACACTCACTAAGTGCAATGAACTATAGGAAATGATGACATGGTGAACAATTTTTCTCCTTGTTTTTATTTGAATAACAACCATTAATCAATGCATAATTAGACCATATACATTTTAACTCTTCTTTCTGTTTTAAATGTTTTGAATTTGTTTTCAACATAGAACGAAGTTGAATCATCAATTAATGAATGCGGAAACACTATTTACGTCTCTCGATTAACGATCAGAACACGAACTGTTTGAAAATCATTATAATAGACAATTTCAGTTTATATTTTTCTGCTGATAAAGTTGATGAAAATAAAAATATTATTGTTTTCAGTGAGATTCTCGAAACTCCTTACGCCTAAACATTTGTTTTTGCATGCACTTAAAAGATATTTGATATTGAATTGCGTACCATAAGGAAGGAGACAATAGCCATTAGGATGTCTACTCTCTGAACTTAAAAATAAACCAAATGAGTGTATAGGTGTTTTGGGCTTCTGCAAAAAGAAACGTTTTCGAAAGATTTCACAAGAATAAATCAAGAAACAGTATCATAATGTTATTTTTCTAATAAATCGAAATCTCTGAACTAACAGATAAAATTTTACTGCTTTTCATTAGTTTTATGTAAACTCTACAATTTGTTTTATACGTGAGAGTGTCTTTAGGAAATTTGATTCATACACCAGTCAAATGCTGACATATTGCTAAATGAACAACTAAACTGAAATATTATCTTAGACTAATGTTGACGAGCAACATTTAAAGTATTTATAATTTTAAGATTTTATACAATTCGACTTGATATCTGTTAGGTTAACACGGAACAAGACAATTCTGTCTCAACTTTAATTCATCACATGAATTAGTCTAAGATGAAAATTGCGTGTTTTATTTCTTTAACCTAGTAGTTTTTTTTTGTTTATCAGTGTTGTGCTAAATTCAACACTTAAAAATCTCTTTGTTTCAGATTCGCAAAACAATTATGCTTTACAATATTTTGGTCAGGATTCAATATGTGTTAATCATGATACATACGCACCATGGATCAGTATTGTAGGGGGATTTTACAGAGATATATCTTTTCCCTACGCAAGTTGTCATAAAGTAAGAAAGTTATATACATGTACAAATATTTTGACTAAGTTAATTAGCTTTATTAATAAACAAAATAAATGGGACTGTAGATTATAATTTTTAGAGTGAAAAAAGTGAAATGTCGAAATTTTTAAATCATGGATTATATGCTGATTATTCTCGGTTTATGGAAACTTAGCGGTCGTAATAAAATCTACCAAATTGTGTTGATAATAATTACCCATAAGTCTTTGTAGAGGTATGAAAAATGAGTTATTTGTTTCATCACTTACTCTCTACATAACTAAATGTTGAAATGAAAGACTTTTTCGTTATCTTTTCAATAGTGAATTGTGTAATATGTCTTTTGTTAACACCAAACGAATAGTTTGTGGTAAACGAAACGTTTTAGAACCCCTCAAACATTTAAAACGTATTGATTTAATTAAGTCTGTACACTGAGTAAAGTAAATGTTCTCCTCACAGTTAGATCAGAAAAATAATAATAAAGACTATGTTTTATTTTCTAGTACAATTGTTCAAGTGTTGGTATTGAATTACTTGTTGGACAACAAGTTACAAAATGTTCTGATGGAGAATCTATTCCAATAAATGCTTACAGTAATAACATTAATGCCAGAGGATTAGTACTATGTCCAACTTGTAACGCAGCTTGCAGTGTAAGTAACTTCATTTGTTGTTTAAGTCTACATCTTATTAATTAATTCAGCATCGTAATATTGTTATATTAATTGCTTTACCTGCTAATTATTTATTAAATTAAAACATTATTTATTGATTATGATATTTATTTTTTATTTATCTATATTCTATTCTTGGTTGCATTCGGTTATGTTTTGAGTAAAAGTGTCATAAATTTATACTACTCAAGCTCTACTTACTTTTAGTTCCCCTTTTTTTAATCGACATAAATAAATAAAACACTCATCGCAAATATTATTTTACGAAACATTATTATTGCCTCACAGGGGGCGTGGTCATGGATGCGCACTGCTGAGGAGTCCCACGATAGAACGAAACGGCCGTTCAGTGCTTCCAGGTTTTCCATGGTGGTCTAGCTTCAACTGAATCATGACCTTAACCATTGAAAATATCAGTTAGTTAATTCTCAGAGAAACTTATCACTGCTCATAGGTCTTATTGATTAGTTATTCTGTCATATTTTACAAATACACAAACTTGTAGTTGAAAATATTTTATTTTATTTAGATTGTTTCTTTAGTTGTGAAATAAATTCATCATACAGAGTTCTTATTAAATCCGTGACTACAAACAGAAATGATCATTGGTATCCAAAAAACATTGATGTATAAGTTCTAACACTGATTTTGGATGTCTTTTGTGTTTATTTTTCTTTGGACTTAGGTTTGTTCCTACACATCTGTTGTAAGCAACCGAACCAATTCAGCAGTTCATACTACCAGTAATAACAATATATTACTTATTCATTGGATTATGTTGTATAACGTTTTTAATCTACATATTTTTCTCATTTAGTAGCCTGGTGAAGACTATAAAGTAACTAATAGATGGGTTCCGTAGTTCTGTAGTTTATTCAATTGTTTACATATATTAAATATATTCTTCATATAAATATATTTTTATTTCATTCATTGTTCAACTGGAGAATATATTACAGTTAAGCATCAAGTAAATGTTAATTGTTTTCCACTATAGTCACAAAATATATGAACCTGTCCTATACTATATCCAAGGTTTTAATCATATTCCGATGATGGATGGAAATTATGAGACTGATGATTTTATAAGTTCTAGGTTTCGAATGTTGTTAAGTTGTATTTCATAGAATTCAGCTAAAAATAGTTATTATATTCTCAATTGCATTTAATTTCGATCTGAAATCTGAGTTTTTACTTTCATGATCTTTAGATAATAAAAGTATACATGATTAAAAAAAGAACCGCTTAACTGGTTTTTTAATGAATTCTAAGTGCAGTTGACATAGATGAGAACACGAAAGTAACCCAAAACAAGTATTCCAGAAATTTCGTTTCTAAGAAATATCTTTATGTAAATCTTCGACTTGAAGATAACCAAACTTCAGGCATACTTAAGAAGAATGTTGTCTTACAACTTTTTTGGGGCAAACCAGTCTAACTTTAGATTGCATATCGTTAGTAGTTTCGCAATTCAATAAATTTATGTGTGTAGAACATTTATTAAACTCGCTATGATCGTATAAATTATCTTGAAAAACATTTCATATAAATAGAAGTGTACAGTATGTGGAAATGAAATCTCCGAAAGTAAAAATTTCTGTGTTGGAATATTCATTTCGATTACCATTATAAAGTACAATCAGCTGAAATTTCAGCTATTCAATAAACTTCGGTAAAGTTTATTCGAAAAGTAAGTGATATACTGTTCACTTGAAAAATGATCAACAAAACAAACAAACGTTTTTAGAATCTATGTAACAAAAAGTATCATACACATAATAGTGTGACTGAGATATGAATATATATATATAATGACTATCAAATGATTGAAAATAACTTTAAGACATTTTGAATCAGATTCTATAAGATAAGTAAAAAAGCAAATACTAAACATTATTTCGAGAGCAAATAATATTTCCCTCACGTGAAATGAAATACATAAGCGAAGAAAATTGTTAATTGTGTGAATTATTTTGATATCACTTGATGTTTATAAATGCACGTTCAATGTGAGCTAAAATTTGTTTAGAATGTGAAGGAAAAAAGAAGTAACTGTGCTCCTTTATATTTTTTATTTCATGCGCTGTTTATATTTGCTCAATGGTGTTTGCAACATTAATTTCCTTTCAAGTCGTTCACGTTTTACTCATTGAAAGGTAGGGTAGAAGGTTCCGTAGAAGAAATGTTTAAAAGAATTTTAAGATAAATCTTTACTAGCTAAAGTTAACATTTGAACGACTTCAAGAAGACTGCATTTCTGTCAATATCAAGAGCCTAGCTACAATCAGTGTTTCGGACATTTTTTGATATACCACCGACGTTAAAAAATAGGATGGAGTGGAAGTCAACTTCTCAGGAGCATAAAAACTAGAAAAAGGATAACAATTCAATTACTAATATCGACTCTATGAAGTAAAAAACTGCCTATTTGACAAGCACGCTCCTTGAGAGTCTGCTACTCATAATGACTACCTCAGCTTACTCTGTAGATTCAAAATACCTCAAGTCCAAACAGTTGAGTATGGTGAAACGAACTTACAAGAATTTGAAAATCCTTTGTAATCTTGGAACAGATCACAGTAGACGGGTATTTAAAATTGTCTTTCTCGGAATTCGTCGTAATATTTCTGGGATCGTTAGAATTTCAAATCGAGTGAGAAAATGTTTTTAGGGCATTATTATTCGTACTACAAGAGAACCAAACCTTTAATCGATATAGCAAAAGTTTATTCGTCAACAACGGACGCTTTTGCAGGTTAAATAAAGCTTGCTAAAGCTTCTCAAAAATCGTTTCCTCAGTACGTCTTTACATACCTTTTTTTCGTTGTTTATGAATACTGGAATCGATGAAGTGAACATTATATGAAGCAAACCAAATGTTTGCATGTTTTATTTACTTATCAGTGCATTTTCATAGCATAATGACAGAAACTTTTCCGAAAATTGAACGTTATTACGGATGTTATTGGTTTTAGCGGGCACTGTTGGCTGATGGTGCTCAAGCAAACATTTTATTCAGATCTATGATGCTTCCTCGGCTCCGTGTAGTTATTGGTTAGGACATACACATACTATATATTGCTACACAAGTACCTTACTATATTAGAAGCACGTCTTGTCCAACTTCTTGAAGTTAAAGATCCTACAATCTTGTTAACAATTTTCTGCACAGGTGAATGAAACATATAATTCAAATATCTTGTGAACTGCTGTATAATTTTTAAAATCTGGAAGATGGACCACTTCAATTATTTGAGAAGAAACTTATATTTACAAAATCTCAGCGATTGAATTTTAAGGAAATTCAAACGTTTTACTCGAAAATCTAGTTCAACCTTCTTCAGACAAATACAATCAAAATTATGGAATAGGCACATGATTCTCCGGTTTACTGTAGAGTACTTAGATCATCCAGTCATGTTAATAATGTTGATATTAGGATTTTTCTGTATCAGGTATGAGGCTTCTGGTGTGCAAAGTATATCATGTTCAGAAACAGTTGTGATTTTTTCTAGGTGGATCTAAAGTAAGAGAAAAAGATCATTGACCATATATCACCTCTGATTGATGACGTTTTTGATAAAAACACAAATTTTATGGATGATATGAGTTAAACATGTTACTGTATACGTAAAATGAAGATGAATAAACAAAAATAAGATATATGTTTTGTGTTATTGTGTTGACCAAGTTAATTTTTCATTATATGTTTAGATAAACCAAGTGATTAAAACAGTTGGAAGTAATAGTTGTTGTTCAGATAATAAATGATGGGTTAAATGGAGTAAAATGTAACCAGGAGTTGAGATTTAAATATAAGCTATTACGTGTTATGGCACTGCCAATTGTATGCAAGGCTTAAACTGTTAGTTACTCTTTGAGAGAACAAAAACCTTTGTGAAGGATTTTGGTGACAGTAAAATCAGTTGTATAGCTCGATTATGTTGAGTGTAATTCTGTTGCTAACTGGTTTTCTAGTTTTTATTAGTCATCTCAGGATTAAGAAATGTACATAAAGCAACTTTTGTGTTCTCGCACCTTCACTTTCAATCGTAGTGATGTCTTACATACATTTATAGCACTAAAATCACTGTATTTGATCCTATCTACATGATTTTGTCGTTCCTGCTTTAGTATTGAATCTAACCATTTTGTAACTTAGAGTCTTGTTCGTTCGGAAAAAATACTCTTATATTTTGGGCATTTATGATTTTTTCTGGTCCCTTCTGAAGTTCATTTACACAATCGTCTTAACCCATTCCTTTGGTTTATCTTTGTCCCTATCTTTTTGGTCTTTGTTAATTATTCTTATGAAATCCTTAAGATCATTATTCATCATAGAAGTGGACATCAATTGATGCATTTCAGTTTCCATGTCACTTGGTCCGGTGGCGAGCTTTTGAGGTCTGTTTACTGGCTCTGTATCTGACTCGAGTTTGATAATTTGAATGATTTTTATTGAAATCTACATACCGCCAACTCCCTTATGAATTATCTACTCAAATCGCGTTAGTGAATAACGGAGCTAAATAAATCAAATACAAGAGCGGATTTTGATTGCGTATATTTCGCACAATCGTTGATCGCGAGAGATCACAGAGGCGAAGTGAAGAAAGTGGCGAGGGGAAGGGGATGCGAAACGAAATGACGCGCGGTGGAGAAACTGTGCAAACCAACTCGATTTAACCAAGCGTGACTCGATATTTAGTCAGAAAAAAATAATTACGATATGTGATGAGTGTGATAAGCAATGTACACACACACTCACATAAAAACAGCCAAGAGTAAATAACAAGGTAAAAATGTGACTCATGAATAATGAATAGATTGGTCTGTCTGTAAGCTAGAATAACACATGTAAGATTGATATGGTACTGAACATTTATTCTGTTTATCTAAGTCCTGACAACTTTCGCCGTAGTGGAATGGGCATGTACTGGCTCCTAATCTTGATATTCCTTCTTAACACTTCAATTACTATCATTATGAGGATTTTCAGAGACTGTATTATATTCAAGGTTGAAATCACGAATTGATCTAAGCTAGATCACCTCCGAAAACTTGAAAGCACTGGACTGAAGTCCCTATCTGGTATGGGGCTCCTCAGCCGCACGCACAATCTTGCACGTGGGACATGGACACGGGACCTTAACTTCTAGACCACTGAGCTAGCATCATGAGCTCACTATTGACTTGCTTCAAGATGTAAATCCTGGAGTTCTGGTGAGGACTCGTGACCAAAGAAGTCTAATCCATGCAGAGTGTGTGGGGGTTATGTAACTTAGATAATGAATGAAATGAAAAGCAAAATCGTGGATCGATTGAACCTGTGGATGAACACTGTTGAATGCTCTTTCAGTGGTTTAGATGCTGTGCGTTCGTACATGAGATCAAAGATCCTATGTACGAGTCCCACATGTGGAATCGTTGATACGCACTGCTGAAAAATCCCAAACCAGGACAAGAGGGTGGTCAAGTGCATTTTACTGTACAAAGGTGATTTGAATTAGATTGGTTCGTGATTTAAACTGTGTATATATTCAAATTATTGTTTGTTGCTTTGCATTCTGCAGCCCGAAAATTCCTCATTATTTTGGTGTTTCTTCAGCTAGGCACAATTCATGAGTGGCTTTAATGATCTACAACAAGTAATCACTTCACCCGATGCAGGAATATCACAAACACGGATGACATGCACTCAATAAAGTAAAGGAAGTCGTAAAAATTGTTGGAAATCATTATAATTCGTTTTTAAATGCACGTTAGTTGTTGTTACAGGTGGTACTGTAGTTATTTAGAAATTTCAAATAACTAGTT